GCTCTCAAATTATAACTAACATCTTTCAGTGATGGAATTATCGTTTCATTTTTGAACTTACTTTGCCCTCAACGTTCAGGACCAGGGCTGCAAGGATCTGAAAGATAAGGTAAGATAAGGTGAGATAAGATGAGATAAGATGAGGTACGGTGAGATAAGGTGAGATGACGTGAGGTGAGGTGAGATACGTTGTAGTGAGGTGACGTGAGGTGAGGTAGGGTGAGGTAAGGTCAGATAAGATGAGATAAAACGGCATAGGGTGATGTAAGGTGAGATAAGATGAGGTAAGGTGCGATAAGGTAAAGCAAGGCGAGATAACGTGAGGTAAGGTGAGGTAAGATGAGGTAAGGTGCGATAAGGTAAAGCAAGGCGAGATAATGTGAGGTAAGGTGAGGTGAGATACGGTGAAGTGAGATGAAATAAGGTGAGGTTTGGAGAGGTAAGGTAAGATTTGGTGAGGTAAGGTGAGGTAAGGTGTGATAAGGTGTGATAAGGTGAGATAAGGTGAGCTAAGGGGAGATAAAATGGCATATGGTGAGATATGGTGAGGTGAAGAGAATAAAGGTTTGAATATAGTAGATGCTGTGAAGTGAAGCGACATTGGTGAGATGGAGTGTATTAGGATAATATTTCATTGATCCTGTGGGAAATGTTCTTTGGCTTTATAGGAATAGTAAAAGCACATGTAGATATAAAGTCTACATTGTATCTTATTATTTTAGTTGTTTCCGCATCCGATCCGGACATTGGGGATTGTCGTGTTGGTGAGACAACTTCCTGGGCCTTCGGCATATTGTGGTAGGGTGGCCAGTTCCTTTCCACGCCGCTTTTACTTCCCCAACTCGAAGTCAGGTACCCATTACTGCTGGGTGGGCAGGATGGAGCGAAAAAAATCCGTGTCCGAACCGAGGCTCGAACCCAGTATGAATGTTACTCTCATAAAAGAATGTAAATATGAAGAAAAAGATAGAGGCTGGCAATAGTATAACATGAAGTATGGTGAGAAAGGAGGGATGGGATGTAGTACGGATGAGTGAGGTGAAAAAAGAAGAGGCAGGATAGATGGGGTCAGGTGAGGTCAGATGGGAACGATGAGACTAGAAAGAAGAAGTGAAATGAGGTGAAAGGGAACATGATGAAAAAGAAAAGCCGAGGAGAGGTGAGGGGAGGGGGAAATGAAAAGAAAGGTGAGCCAAGATAAAAGAGATTAGATAAATAAAAAATGGGTGAGGCAAGATAAAATGGTGAGGTAAGGAGAAGCATGATGGAATAAGGTAGCTAGGGTGTGGTGAGGTGAGGTGAGGTGTAGAGAGGTGAGGTGAGGTGAGATGAGGTGGGAGGGCAAAAAGAAGAGACAATATAGAAGAGTTGAGGTAACTTTGGGAGACCTATTCAAAAACAGCAGATATTTTATTTTTTAAAACATTATGTAAAATCTAATAGTGGCGAGATTGGAAGATTTAAAAATCATAAAATGATATTGTTTTGTATTTCCAATCCCCGACAAGCGCAAGCTAGGTAGGTTTAGGGCCTTGAAAACTGCCCCAAACCAAGGGTCATCCCCTCCTTCCCCAAACTTGTTGCCAACTGGGCTATCGTATTTCTTGAAGATGTTGGAAGAATCATATAATCTTATGCGTATTTCTTGAAGATGTTGGAAGAATCAAATAATATTATGCGTATTTCTTGAAGATGTTGGAAGAATCATATACTATTATGCTAAAACACGAACACAAAGCCATAGCTCATGTCAAAGTGGACTGTCACGGGTTGGATGGGGTTTTTCTTTTCTTTCACAAAGTAAGATATTATCTTTTTTTTTCTTCTATTTTTCTTCTTTTGTAAGTGTTTACGTTTCTTTCGGTTGCTTATGCCATTTAGGAGGCGGGAATGCTTCGGCCCTTATAGTTAGAGCCATCTCAGGCAGAGTGGAATTTAACCTCCCGTCCGTCCGACAATGGAAAACACTGGCTACAAAAGTCTTCCTTACCAGGGGAGTCGAATCCCCGTCTTTTGCTTGCGACGGCGAAGAGTCTAACCGCTGCACTACATACGCCCGTATAATTTACTTACTTACTTACTTATTACTTCTCCGTTTGTCTAGATGACCGTTGGGGTACCAAAGATGATCGGGCTACTACTTTTCTCCGTCCTGCTCTGTTTCAGCCTTTCTTCAAAGGGCTTCACCCAACTTTGAATCTGTCCATTCCACTATGGTGTCTTTCCATCTCTTTTTCTGTCTGTCTTTCCATCTTCCTCCTTGCACGGTGCCCTATAGGATCATCTATGCAACTTGTTGATCTCGTTATGCCCCCATACCACCTCAGTTTGCGTATTTTCCACAGTAGTGAGATCTTCATAGAGCCCAGTGGCATGCCTGATTCTGTTCCTTCACTTCCTCATTTGTAACATGTTCTTTGAAGGAGATTCCTAAAAGTCTTCGAAATCATCTCATTTCTGCAGTTTGTATCTTTCTCTCTAACTCACGGTATAATAGCTGCTCCTAATACACAACCATTTGATATTTAAGTCTTTTAAAAGCAACTTCATATGTACTTAAAAGCGTTATGAAAGGGAACAAAACCTTACCGTGAGTCCTAAAAGTTTGAACAAACTCCCCATGGTTGGGAAATTTTGCAGACGTGACTTGGAGCAAATGACAAATCTCCTTCACAGTCTAGGAAGCTGTGGCCTTTATACCTAGACGGCCGAGGAACGTAGGATAGCTTGCGGTTTGCCTAGTCGTTTTAATCTTTTTTATTTTTTTTTAAAGAACATTTTCGTCAATATTCATGGTCTATCGTAGCCATCTGTCTCCTGTTTATTCCGCGGATAATTTCATTTTCTTTAGCTTCAGTTGGTCGTGTATGTGCCCAATGTAAAAGCAGATCTCGATGTCTTTTGTGTGATTACCCACTTAAATCTATTTACCTGGCTCCCGCAATATTTTTACTTGAGTCCCGACCCCCCCC